TTATAAATATATAATATGTATATACATAAATATATATCAATTTATATATACATAAAATATATAAATATAAATTATATATATATATACATTGTCAAATTTTTATTGTATTTTATATGTTTGGCTGTGATAACTTCTCATTTTTGTCTATTTTAGAGACTAATCAATTATGAAGGAAGAGTCAGAGGTCTTGATAAAATGTAGATGCACTGAATACTTTTCCATGACCCAACTGTAGATTTATTGACAATCGATCACTATTAGGATCACAATAGAAAGACTCATTTTTTTCCAGGAACAAAAGTACAGTGACACCAATCACAGAAATTATTGTACAAAATTGTGTTGTGCCCTAAACTATGGGACATGAAGCCTAATAAATGATAAAGTATTTTAGGGGTAGAGACTAAATTAATTCTCATTAGAGAGCATATAACTCTATGCTTATTATTTTAGAAAAACTAACTCAATCTGTAATTAATGTTTGATTTGGGAAGGATATTAAAATACAAAAATATGCAAAATAAAATTTGGAGGCATGAAATCTTTTGCAGTGAATAAGCTGAAATGAGAATGAGGTGAACAGGGAGCTTGGGAATAACCTTGGAATGCTTTACACCAGGGAGAATATCACAAGAAACATTTAAGCTTTAAAACTACTGAAATCCTTAATTTTTTCTATTGTCTGAATTACTCAGTTATGAAGTTAATTTTTCCTTGAAGTCTCCTTCCCGAATTTCAGTAGGGAAAATGTCTCACCGTGATAAACAGACCACAAATATTTTTAGTGGAAACACATTTACTTCTCCATTAAGCACATCACATCCAAATTACAGAAAAATAATTATATTTCAGCAGTTGCTACTAGTCACACTGTTTCTGCTGAAAATAAGATAATTCAGTTAGCTCCATCATGCTCCTTGTCACAAACACAGAGGTTTTGCATAAATAAATATACTACTCGTATTCTCTGTGGTTTCTGCACACCACAATAATAGTTTCATTCCCAAAGTACAACCTTAGAGCACTTTAAAATTCAGCTTTTGATGCCACTTGGATCAAACATCAAGAAGATTGATGAGGATTTCATTAAATTCAATTAATGACAATCAGGGGTGTTGGTGTGGGGTCTCAGACCTCCAGTCTCTCCTAACCCTCAGCCTGTGCCTCAGGAGTTGTTCCTAACTTCCTGTGCAGCTTCAGCATTGAACCAATTGCTACCCCAGAAGAATCCTTCTCTAGACATGAGCACTTACCCAAACTCTTACCACATCTCCTTCCCTTACAGACTGCCTCTCAGATGGAAATAGGAAATACTCACTGGAGTTCTTTCTGCTGCCTGGATGGGGGTTCAGTGACTATCACAACAGCCAAACACTGAGATATGGGTTAGAGATTCTGTGACCTCACCTTCCCACAGAACTGCAATTATCATTCACCTGCAGTAGCAATGACAGTGCGTTCTTGTGTAGCTAAGAATGTTTTTATAAACATGATCTCAGATCCCAATTACCAGAAACAATTAGAAGTTTCTAATGAGCATCCCCAAAGAGACCATTGAAATGTTTAGGAGGGGTGTTTTCTTTTCCATGATCCCTGGAGATAGCACAGGGTCTCACATGGAGGGTGAGCAGGAAATGTTGAGGACTGAGCCTTAAGGGACTGAAGTGAAACACGTGTTTCATTGGATTCTCTGCTTCCCTAAGAAGTTCTATTACTCAAAATATAATTCGTTCTTAAAACTCAGGTACTAACAAATCCTCTAAACTAAAGAAGTATCCTGAATACAACCAAACACTTCGAGGGACAGAGTAGCAGGGACAGAGGTCTGGGAACCAAGTTTTCAGGGGCCATCTAGGTCAACTGGCTTAACAAAGTTTATTAAGAAAATGTTCTGCATCCTACTTTGGTGAGTGGCGTCTGAGGTCTTAAAAGCTAGTAAGCAGCCATCTAAGATCGATCAACTGGTCCCAACCCACCTGGAATAAAGGAGAATAAAGAACACCAAAGTCACAAGGAAAGCATTAGCCCAAGAGACAGAAAGGGCCACATAAACGAGAGACTGAAATAGCCTGAGACCAGAAGAACTAGATGGTGCCTGGCTAACACCAATGATTGCCCTGACAGGGAACACAACAGAGAGTCCCTCATAGAGCAGGAGAAAGGTGGGGTGCAGAACTCAAATTCTAGTAAG